GAGGAAGAATGGATGGAAGATGATGTTTTGGAACGTAGCAGGAGTGGCAAATAAGGATAAAGGGTTTTGGGAAGGAATAAAAAAATGGGATGTAGTAACATTGATGGAAACGTGGTTGTAGAGGAAGGAATGGGAAAGGATAAGGGGGAAATTACCAAAGGAATTTAGATGGAAAGTGCAGCTAGCCACAAGAAAAAATAAAAAGGGAAGAGCTAGGGGGGTATGCTAATGGGGTTAAGGAAGGGGATAAAAGAGGAAGAGGAGGAGAAGGAGGGTGGGAGCAGGAAGGAAAAATAAAATGTGTCATAAGGAAAGGAAAGAAGAAATGGAGGATAATTGGAGTATATGTGAACGTAGACCTGGAAAGTAAGATGGAAGGCATAAGAAAATGGATGGAAGAAAGAGAAGAAGGCAATAGAACGATTATAGGAGGGGACTTCAATGTGAGAACGGGAAAGGATGGAGGATGGAGGGAAAACGAGGATTGGAGAGAGGAAGGAGGAAAAAGAAAATCGAAGGACAGAAGGATAAACAAAGAAGGAAAAAGACTAGTGCAGATAATAGAAGAAAGGGGATGAGCGATCTTGAATGGGGGAATGAAAGGGGATGAGGAATGGGAGTTCACATACACAGGGACAAGGGAAGAGACGACGATAGATTATATATTGGGAAATGGAGAGGTCATAGAGGAAGTGGAAAGGATAGAAGTGGGAGAAGAGATAGAATCGGATCATCATTAACTAGGGGTATGGATAAAAGGAGAGAATGGAGGGAGGAGGAAGGAGAGAGAGAAGGAAGAGAGAATGAGCAGAGGGAAATGGAATGACGAAGGAAGAGTAGAATTCAAGAGGGAGCTAGGAAGCATACAGGGGGGAGGGGGATAGAGGAGAGGAATTGGAAGTAGTGAATGATAGGATAAGGAGAGCACTGAGAAACAGGGAGGAAAGGAGGGCAGAGAGGGGAGTGGGTGGAACGGGATGGTGGGACGAAGAATGTAGAGGAAAGTAGAAGGAAGTGAGAGGAATGCTAAGAAGTTGGAGGGAAGGGAGGGGGAACAGGGAAGGATACAGAAAAAAGGAGAAAGAATACAAAGAGTTGATATGACAGGAAAAAAAGAGAAAGGAGGGAAAGAATGGGAAGAGAAGTAGAAGGAGTAAGGACAGAAGGGGGAGTATGGGAGGTTATTAAGAAGGAAAGGAAAAGGGGAAGAAGAATAGAAGAAGGGATTGGGATGGAAGAGTGGAAGGAGCATTTCATGGGAATATTAGGAGGGGTAGAGAGGAAGGTGAGGATAGGAGAAGGAGGGAGAAGGAAGGAGGATGGAGAGCAGGAGATAAGAAGAGAGGAAGGGAAAGGGATTATAAAGAGGATGAGAGACGGAAAAGCGATGGGAAGGGATGGGATACCAAACGAGGTATGGAGATATGGAGGAGAAGAGGTGGAAAGTTGGGCGTGGGAAGTATGTAGGAAGGTATAGAGGGGGGTGGCCGGAAAATTGGAAGGAGGGGGTAATAGTTCCGGTATTGAAGAAAGGAAGAGGGGAGAAGGTGACGGATTACAGGGGGTGACGATAATGCCGTCGCTATACAAGGTATATGCAGCGATAGTGGCGGAAAGGCTAAAGGAGAAGTTGGAAGAGAAAAATATACTTTCGGGGAGTCAAACGAGATTCAAAAAGGGATGGGGGCAATGGATCAGGTGTATGTATTAAATTACTTGATAAACAGGCAATTGGGAAGGAAAGGGGGGAAGATGACAACCATCTTTGTGGACCTCAAGGCGGCATTCGATTCGGTAGACAGAGGGAAGCTGGTAAAGGTAATGAGGGAAAGAGGGGTGAAGGAGGGTTTGGTAGAAAGGGCAGAGGAAATGATAAGGGAAATGAAGAGTAAGGTGAGGATAGGGAAGACAATGGGAAAGGAATTCTGGACGGCGAGAGGAGTGAGACAGGGGTGCCCGTCAAGCCCAATTCTGTTCAATATATTGTTAGCAGATTTAGAAGAAGAAATAACGAAGGGGAGGCGAGGTGGAGTGAGGGTAGGAGGAAAAAAATATACACGCTGTCATATGCAGATGACATTGTGATGATGGCAGAAGAGGAACAAGAGATGAGGGCTATGATAAGTAGGTTGGAGGGATATTTAAAAGGAAAGGGGCTGGAACTGAACATAGAGAAAACAAAGGTAATGAGATTTAAGTGTGGAGGAGGAAGAAAGGAGAAGAGGTAATGGAGGTGGAAGGGCAAGAAACTAGAGGAAGTAAAAGTATATAGATACCTAGGATATGTGCTACAGAGCAATAGAGGACAGGAGGCACAGATAAGAGAAAGGAACAGGAAAGCAGTGGTGGTAATGAGGGAAATATGGGGTATAGGGAAGAGAGTATGGGGCGTAAGAGTATGGGGAGTAAGGATTGGAGAAGAAGGTTATGGCTTTTCGACAAATTAGTATGGATGGTGATGGGGTATGGAGCGGAAATAAGAGGGATGGAAAGAGACGAAGGAAATGGAGGGGCTACATGAAAAATATGTAAGGTGGACAATGGAGGTGGAGTGGAATACACCAGGATATATGATAAGGGAGGAAACAGGGAGAGAAAAGATGAGGGGAAGAGCAGGAAAAGCGGCATGGAATGGAGAGGAGAATGCAGGAGGGAAGGGGAGAGGAGGTGGCGAGAAGATGCTGGCAGGAGATGGGAGAGAGATAGAGGAGCGGGAGAATGGTGGGTGGATGGGAGCAGGAGAGAAAGGAATTCATGATAGCAAGGGGAGCAAGAGAAGCAGAGCAAGGGAAAGTAAAATATGAAGAAATAGAAAGGAGAGATAGGGAAAATCAGAAGAAAGAAAGATAGGAAAGGATAAGAGGTTCAAAGTATAATAGGTGGTATAAGTATGTGAGGGAGGAGGGGACACCGGCAGATCTAGACAAAGTATGGACAGAAAAAAGATGGAAAATGGTAATGAGGTTTAGAATGGGCAATGAGATGAGGGAAGGGAGATACTGGGAAGAGAAAGAGAGGAAGAGTTGTAGGATGCGTGGGAGGAGAAAGGAAACATGGGAACGTATGTGGGAGGAATGCGTGAGATGGGGGGTAGGGGAGGGAGAGGGCTGGGGAAACGTAGTGGAAAGGCTGCTGGTACAGAAGGGGAGGGGGAGTGGTGGATGAGGGGGTGGAGGGGGAGGGGGAAGTACGGGCGGGAGGGGGAGGGGGTGAGTGGAGGAGAGGGGAGAGAATGAAGGAATGGAATGAGTGAGAGGAAACGGAAGTCGGCGCTAGAATTAAGAGAATTAGAATATAAGGAGCGAGTAGAATTAAGGTAGTTGTAAGTTAATTATCAGTTAGGATAAGGGGGCGAGAGGGGAGACGGGGGTTGTATGTGTGAGGGTGGATATGTGTGTGAGGGGGAAGATGGGAGTGGGGTAGGAATAAAGAAAGAGAGTGTAATGGAGTTTGTAACCCCGGCAAGGGGAATCAATAAATTATACATACATAAAACATCATGAAACCAAAATGTAACATAACCTATAAATGTCATAATCAATTAATTTTTGTAAAATTTTTGGAAGTGCGATTATATATTAGGAGCGCAAAAAAGTTCTGAGCCCTAGATTTCATACTACTGAAACCACAATTTAAATTGCATTAATTTTCCCGCCCTCTTGTGGTTTTAAAGCAGTGATATTTGGTCTTTCGAAACATCGTGCGATTTGGCGTTTCATGTACATAACCTTAAAATCAGCAGTGTTCATGATGGCAATAACAAAAGAGCATATTCGATTTTCCATCCACTTCGCGTTTCATCTGAAGAAAAATGCTGCTGAAGCCACTGAAATGATCTGTGTTGCATATGGAGAGAACGCTGTAAAGTTATGCTACGTGTAAAAGGTGGTATCAAAAATTTCGCCAAGGAGATTTCAGTCTTGAAGATGAACCACGTGCTGGACGCCCTCAAAAGATTGAAATGGACGAACTGCAAGCATTGTTGGATATAAACTCTGCACAAACTGAAAAGGAGCTTGCAGAGCAACTTGGCGTTACGCGACAAGGCATTTCCACACGTTTACATGCAATGGGAAAAGTTCAAAAGGAAGGCAGATGGGTTCCGCATGCATTGTCCGAAGACAACAAAAATCGACGGCGTGACACGGCATTCACTTTGCTTTCAAAGTTCCGGAAAAAGGATTTTCTGCACCAAATCATTACAGGTAATGAAAAGTGGATACTTTATGATAATCTGAAGCGTAAAAAATCATGGGTTGACCCTGGTCAACCTTCGACATCGACGCCAAAGACCAATATCCACGCCAAAAAGGTTTTGCTTTGCATATGGTGGGATTGGAAAGGTGTATTGTATTACGAGTTGTTACAGCCGAGTGAAACAGTAACGGCAGATCGCTGTCAGCAACAATTGAGCAATTTGAGCGATGCGTTTGAAGAAAAGAGGCCATTTACTGGCAAAGGACATCGTAAAGTGATACTGCTTTATGACAATGCCCGACCACATGTTGCGAAAGTGACTCAGGACCATATCTTTGCGTTAGGCTGGGAACTTCTCCCGTACGCGGCGTATAGCCCAGACATGGCGCCTTCCGATTACTACCTATTCCGGTCTCTGCAGCATTTCTTGGCTGATACACATTTTGTGACACTTGAAGAGATACGAAAATGCATTGATGACTTTATCGCCTCGAAGCCGGTGAGCTTCTACCATCAGGGAATTCGCAAGCTGCCCGAAAGATGGCAAAAGGTCATCGATGCAAACGGGGAATATTTCGTTGATTAATATAGTTTTGTTTGTTTTTAAATAAATTTTGAATTTTGCAAAAAAAGGCTCAGAACTTTTTTGCGCTCCTAATAGTACGATATAGTTTGATTCTTTTTTTCACACATTTGCGTGCAAGTAAAGGTACAATGGAAATATAACATATTGAGTTTATATATAATTCCATAGTGAAAATCGAATAAATTTCAAACGCAAAATATTTAGCAAAAAAGCGATTTTAATCAACTAAATATGTTCCATTCTGTTCAATGACTTTCTGCCATCTCTCCACGAGCTTCATTATCCTTCTTTCATAGAAGTCCTGAGATCTTTGGGCAAAGAAGTCATCCAAGTGATTTTTGAGGACGTTCAGGGAACTGAAGGTTTTATTATTCAAATTGTTCTGTAGCGTTTGGAACAAGTAATAGTCTGACGGTGCAAGATCCGGACTATACAGTGGGTGCACCAAAACATCCCACCCAGTCGCAATAACTTTTACCGGCTCATCAGAGGAACGTGTGGTCTAGCGTTGTCCTGGTGGAACACAACACCCTTTCTGTTCGCCAATTCGAGCTGCTTCTGATGGACTGCTTGCTTTAATTTGGTCAGTTGTGAGTAATATTTGGTCGAATCAATCGTTTTGTTGGGTGGCAGTAGCTCATAATGGACAATATCTTTCCAATCCCACCAGATACAGTGCATGACCTTTTTCGGGTGTAATCCAGCCTTTACGACCATCTGAACAGCCTCCCCGCGCTTTGACCATGATCTTTTTCGACTGACATCGTTGTAGACAGTCCACTATTCATTGCCATTGATCATCCGCTTTAAAAATGGTTCATTTTGATGGCGTTTGAGCAGCAAATCGCAAGCTAAAATTCGGTCCATTAAATTCTTTCGTTCAGTTCGTGCGGTACCCAAACATTAAGCTTGTTTACAATCTCAAGCTTCCGTAAATGTCTTGAGTTGATTGGTCAATGTTGAGGTTATGTCCAATCTCTGTAGTCGTCAAATGCCGGTCGGAGTCGATTAAAGCCTTGATTTGATCGACATCAGTAGTGACTGGCCGACTAGAGCGAGGAGCATCTTGGAGATCAAAATCTCCGCAACAAAATTTCGCAAACCACTTTCGACATGTACATTCGCTTAAGGCATTTTCTCTGTACACGGCACATATCTTTTTGTAAGTTTGCGACGTGTTTTTGCCTTCACGGAAATAAAGAAGCGGAATGCACCGAAAATACACGTTTTTTTCTTCCATGTTCAAAATATAATTAAACTTCATATACGTTACGGACCTCGATGAATACTTTTTTAAAATGTCGGCACAAATTTCAGCTTTCACTTAATGTACGACATTTTATGTTTGCCATGTGCGAGCGGAAAGACAACTGCGAACGACATCAGTCGGAATTTCGCTACAAAATTATACATCGATCCAAGAATTGAAGTAACATATCCTCAAAATATTGAATATAATTTACATAACTATACATTTTTCCTTTGATATTAATAGTTAAACAAGGTGGGTTTTAACTCAATTTTTATAATGAATTTTCAAAATCCTGATTTTATTAATGAAATATTTTCAAACCTGATTTTATTAATGAAATATTTTCAATCCTGACTTTATTAATGAAATATTTTTAATCCTGACTTTATTAATTAAATATATTAATTAGTACCCCCTCCCTCTTTATTGGTACTCCTTTTTATTGATACCCTCTTTTTATTGATACCCTCCCTCTCTCCAGAATTTTTTGATTCTATGGGCAAGATGGCGGTCATGACGTCAAGCATATGTCCAGAGAAAAACGTGTCGAGTGTTGCTAGACTCGAACCTAGGTTCCGCGCACAGACTTCTATATAATACACTAGACTGCTAACTGCGTCCCTTTAATTGTTGCCAAAAAGTATGTACGACTTGCGCAGAATACGAATTAAGTGATGCGCAGTAAACAGTTTTGTATACTTCTGTAGGCGCGCTACTGTTTCGGCATGTTTTTCTGTGAGTATTTATTTATAATTTATATAAAAATTTAATAACAAAATTTTATAATTTGATATAACATATATATTTTTCATGATCGCGCGCACACACAAATATTTTATTACTTACCGTAATTTTACCAATATTATTTTTCGCAATACGTATTTTTTTCTTAATTACTAGGTGCGCAACCAAGATTCCGGGTTTCACATAAGGGATGGCGCTAACGACATATGTCGACATATATGTCTGAAGTTGTGTTTTTTTATAGCTTGGACATCTGTTAACAATAACCAGTCGTAATACAAACACATATCGCAACGCAAAAATATTTTTTCTAACAACGAAGATGTAGAGTTTTGTGCCAAATAAAAAGCTTTGCTTTTCTGCTTTAACTTGAAAAAAAGTGCAGCTGAAGCACGTCGTTTGCTTGAGGAGGCCTACGGCGACCATGCACCATCGAAAACTACCTGTGAAGATTGGTTTAAACGTTTCAGAAGTGGCGATTTCGACACTGAGGACAAGGAGCGCTCCGGAAGACCAAAAATAATTGAGGACGCTGATCTGTAAGCGTTATTGGATGAAGATGATACGCAAACACAAGATCAACTTACGGAGGCATTAAACATGACTCGCCAAGGTATTTCCGAACGTTTACATGCCATGGGAAAAATTCAAATGGAAGGAAAATGGGTGCCGCATGAGTTGACTGAGAGACAGATGGAAAATCGAAGAGCCACTTCCGAAATTTTGTTTTTGCGACATGAAAGAAAGAGTTTCCTGTATCGAATTGTTACTGGCGATGAGAAGTGGATATATTTCGAGAATCCCAAACGTAAAAAATCGTGGCATTCACGTGGCAAAGCATCAACATCGACGGCTCAGCCAAATCGCTTCGGAAAGAAGACAATGCTCTGCGTTTGGTGGGACCTGAAAGGAATTGTATTCTATGAGCTGCTGAAACCGGGCGAAACTGTCAATGGGCATCGCTACCGACAACAACTTATCAATCTGAACCATGCATTGCTCGAAAAATGGCTAGAATAGGACACGAGACAGGAACGAGTGATATTGCAGTACGACAACCCTCTGTGCCATCGCACTTCCATCATCCAGGACACCATCGAAACGCTGAAATAGGATTTGCTATCGCACCCGTCGTATTCGCCAGACCTAGCCCCTTCCGATTATCACTTGTTCCGGTCGATGGCGCATGGCTTGGCTAGGCAACATTTGGCCAATTTCGAAGAAGTGCAAAATTGGTTGGATGAATGGTTTCGGTCCAAAGACGCATCGTTTTATCGTCGCGGTATTCATGTATTGCCAGAGAGATGGCAAAAATGTGTAGCTAGCGAGGGACGATACTTTGAATAAACCATTTTTTGTATTTCTCTTGAAATTTTCCATTTTTCATTGATCAAAGAAATCCGGAAACTTAGTTGCGCACCTAGTATAACTGATATTATAAACGTGTATCACATTCAGGCACGTCTTATTGCAATGGCGATTACATATACGTGTGTTACTTCGAAAGATTAGAATCGTGTCCGTATTTTGCGCATCTGCTTCGCGCATTACATGTATTAGGTGCGCAACTAAGTTCCCGCTGTTTTTCAAGAGATGGCTCCAGTAGTAAGTGCTGGTCGATTGTGACATAACCAAAACGTCATGAACCAAGCTTAGACATATGGTAAACAAACCGCTTTGACACATTAGTGATTTTGTTTTTGCGTCATATACTTTTGGTTGTGTGAAAATGTCTGATTTTGTGCCAAATAATCGTCATTTGCGGGAAGTGTTGCTTTTCTTCTTTCATTCGAAAAAAACGGCGGCTGAAGCGCATCGAGAACTCCAAAAAGTTTACGGAGATGCTGCTCTAAGTGAAACAACGTGCCGTGATTGGTTCCGTCGCTTCAAAGACGGTGATTTCGATGTTGACGACCGTTCGCGTGAAGGAAGGCCAAAAACCTTCGAAGACGCTGAATTGGAGGCATTGCTCGATGAGGATCCGTGCCAAACGCAAAAAGAGCTTGCTTCAGCATTAGGAGTTACCCGCCAAGCCATTTCCAAGCGATTGCATGCGTTGGGAATGATTCAAAAACAAGGAACTTTGGTTCCTTATGATTTGAAGCCAAGAGACGTTGAGCGTCGTTTTTTCGCCTGTGAACAACTGCTCCAGCGGCAAAAAAGGAAGGGTTTTCTTCATCGTATCGTTACGGGTGATGAAAAATGGATTCATTACAGCAACCCAAAGAGAACAAAATCATGGGGACTGCACGATCATACTTCTACGTCGTCGGCTTTGCCGAATATTCACGCTGCGAAGGTTTTGCTGTGTATTTGGTGGGACCAGGGCAGTGTTATTTATTATGAGCTGTTGAAACCGAACGAAACCATCACTGGGGAACGGTATCGAACTCAATTGATGCGATTGAGCCGAGCACTGCGCGAAAAGTGACCAAAATACGAGCAGAGGCACGAAAAAGTGATTCTACAGCATGACAACGCTCGGCCTCACGTTGCCAAACCCGTTAAAACCTACTTAGAACCGCTCAAATGGGAAGTCTTACCCCACCCGCCATATTCCCCAGATATCGCGCCGTCCGATTATTACTTGTTCCGTTCGATGGCACATGGTCTGGCTAATCAGCAGTTCCGCTCATATGAAGACATCTCAAAATGGCTTGATTCGTGGATAGCCTCAAAAGACTTCTATTGTGACGGTATTCGAGCTCTGCCAGAAAGATGGGAAAAAGTTGTCGCTAGCGATGGGCAATATTTTGAATAATTCATTTGTAACCATTTTTTCACAATAAAGTTGCATTTTCATCAAAAAAACAGCGAGAACTTAGATGCGCACCTAATACATAGGCAACACTTATACAGGTTGCGTGAAAAGTTCACGGAGCGAAACTGAAATAAAGAATACCTAATTCTCAAAATGATTTTATTCTTCAATATAGTCTCCATTAACTTCAATACACTTGGCCCAATGGCTCTCTAATAATTTTATTCCATCGCGGAAGTGTGTTTCTGGAAGGTCTGCGAAATATGCCTTTACGGCTGCTATAACTTCTTCATTCGACAAAAAATACTTTCCACGGAGGAATTGTTTCAGGTTTCGGAACAGATAGAAGTCGTTGGGTGCCAAATCTGGCGAATACAGTGGATAATCAAGCAATTTGTACTTCCATTCATTGAATTTAGACATTAACAAAACACTTTTGTGAGCAGGTGCGCTGTCTTGGTGAAAAATGATTTGTTTGTGCTGCAAACCAGGTCTTTTCTCACGAATTTTTGCGTCCAATTGGTCCAAAAGGTTACAATAATATTCAGAGTTAATTGTTTTACCCTTTTCCAGATAGTCAATTAACAAAATCCCTTTAGCATCCCAAAAAACTGATGCCAAAACCTTTTTTGCTGATCTTTCATGCTTTGTTTGCTTTGCAGCTGAACATCCAGCTTCAGTTCACTGTAAGCGTTCCTGTTTCAATTTAGAATCATGGTGATAGATCCAAGTCTCATCCATAGTTATAAAACAACGCACAAAATCGGTTTTATTCTTCTTAAAACGATCCAAATGACGCTGAGAAATTTGCTTTCGAGCGAGTTTTTGTCGAATTGTTAACGTATGCGGCACCACTTTTCCAAACACCTTTTTCATTTGTAATTCTTTATGCAAAATATGCCGTACCCGTTCATCTGAAATGCCTGCGGTATGAGCAATTTCATACGTAGTCATACTTGG